GGCAAGCACCGGACTGGGATTTAGCTCAGTTGGTAGAGCACTTGCCTAGAGTGCATGAAACCCTGCTTCCACCCCCAGCTCCACACACAGTAGACACTGTGGTGCAAGCAGAAGTTCAAGGTCATCCTCAGCTATGTAGTAAGTTGAGGCCGGCCTGGGCTACTTGATACACTGTCTCAAAAACAAAAAGCAAGTGTTTATCCCACCTAAGTCCTACCCTGCAGTGAACTCCTTCTCCCTGAACCTCATGCCATGGTGACCCCCACCATAAAATTACTTTGTTGTTACTTCGTAGCTGTAACTTTGCTACTGTAGTGATAAATTGTAATGCAAATTTCTGATATTCAGCATACCTGATGTGCAGCCCCTGTGAAAAGGTCGTTTGGCCCCCAGGTTGAGAACTAACTGCTGCTTCAATCGTTTCCTGGGATGCTGGAACAGCACTTGTTTTCATCCAGTGAGCAGCCTCCCTACCACCACACGGAGCCTGACCCTTCCTGTTGTGAGGGTCGACCTGTGTCCCTACCTCTGCCCACTAGAGGCCACCAGTGACACCATCATCATTCAGTGGAAACAAGAATGTTTCCAGTTAATGTCTGATACCTTGGGTGTGAAGGTGATGGAGGAGTCGTCTCCTTCAGAGGAGAACCTCGAAGCTATGGCCATTATTTATCGACATCTCACTGGGAAAAAGGCTTTGACTGCTTAGAGAGGCACCAGGTGATGTAAAAGAAATGCTTGGTTACAAGTTGAAAATTATCTGAGAGTCGCGATGGGTTTCATTTCACTCAGTTGCATGGTGTGTTTGAACTTCTAAATTGAAAGGTTCGTGTTTACATGGTCTTTGCGTTTTCCTAATAGAGATGACTCTTGTGTTGAATAAGGCTCCAACAGAGGCAGACGACAGCAAAGGCAGCAACTGGAAGGCAAACAGGAAATACTATGAAGCTTTTTCTCAGGGTGGGATTTGATCTAAGAGTTCTCTGTACACCTCAAGACAGACTGTATCTGGTTAGACATGTCACAATGACTTGTGATTAATAATAATAATAATAATAATAATAATAATAATAATAATAATAAATGGGCTAGAGCGAAGGCTCACGGGCTAAGAGCACTTGCTGCTTTTGCAGAGAACCAGAGTTCAATCCCTAACCCCCACTTGGAGGCTCCCAACAGTCTGTAACTACAGTCCTAAGGAATCCCAGCGCCCTCTTCTGACATCCATAGGCACTGCACACACATGGCACACAGACACACCTGCAGGCAAAATACCCATACACACAAAATAATAAAACTATTTAAATAAGCCGTCTACTGAGAACAAGCCCATGGCCATGAGCCCTGGAGGAAACACTATGGACAATCACCCTGACACCCAGAACCTGGAGTGCTGAATCAAACTCCAAGAACTGATCTAATTGGCCTTGCTGGGTTAGCAAGACAAGAAGAACATGTTATTTAGGAAAAGTAGCTCAGCAAAGAGCAGAGGTAAAGTCCCACCCCATGCAGGTTCCCAAAGATCCTCTTCAATCCCAGAATGAAGCAGTGTAGCCTGAGGGTCCATGACCTCAGATATATTATAAGTCCCAGTTGTGATCTGTTTCCTGGAGGCAGCTGTGCACAGGACCCTGTGTGGCGTCAGCCCATGGACTCTCCTCGTAGTTATTGAGGGCCTGAAGACCACTTGGGAAGACAGACCTTTCTTGATGAGGTCCATGATCCAGAACGGGCAAGTGCTTCTCACATCCCTTCTCTGCCCAGCCTCACAGGGGCTCCTGGGGTGTTGCAGCACACAAGCTTGCCCTTTATGGGTCAGATTCCAAGTCATGAGCATTGTAACTAGGTGTGTGTGGTGGGGTGTTGGGGGTGTGTGCAACAGGTGTCGTCAGCTTACTACAACTGAAAAGTACCACAGGGTCCCTGGCTTTAGTGATGCAACTTCCTGTTGATGTATAAGAAGTCGGGGGGTGGGGGCTGTGGAAAGGGACGTATTTCAAAACAAATCATTTGACACCCCCACCCCACCCTCACCCCTGCCATATTTCAAGAAGAAAGAATGAGTCAACTGTACAGAGCCTCATAACTCAGGCAGCTGAAGGGAAGTGGAGGCAGGAGGAGCCCATCCAGCGAGAGAAGTGTCTTTTGCAGAGCAGGGGATGTCTGAGTTCCTTTGACGATTGCCTTTGATCTTCTGGAGGGTTAAGGGGAGTCCTTGCTTTCAAAAACGCTGCAAGAAGGGACTCTCCATGTCTGATGCAAGGCCTGATGTACCTGAAGGGTGACCTGTAACTAGCAGACCCCCCAAAGGGGCCAGAACCTGAGGGGGCCAGACCAAACCAAACGCAAGTCTCTGCCTCAACTCAGAGCCTTACTGCTCAACCCACCCACACCTGAGACTCCAGGGCACTAAAAACACACTGCCCTGGGACCTCTGTTAGAACTCAATTGTTAAGCTTCCAGAACAAAGCCAATCCTGCCTGTGGCTCCAGACGTAAATGGAGAAAATACAAAGGATGGTGTGTGTGTGTGTGTGTGTGTGTGTGTGTGTGTGTGTGTGTGTGTATGTGAAATGGGAAGACTGCCCATCCTCCCCCTTCCTCTCTCCACCCCCCAGCCCTTCTTCTTCTCCTCTCCCATTCTCCCTCTCCCCTCCTTCTTTCCCTCTCTGTGGGTTTCTGCCTGTAATGCCTCCACCCTCTCCCTCCATCCCGAGCCCCCTACACTGGTACAAGAACCACAAAAGCCCTGCCCACAAACACCACGACATTGATCTGCTATCCACAATCCCTCAAACAAGCGAAAGCAACTGGCCCCCACCAAAGCGGCCAGGACGTTGTGGTTTTGTGATTAAGTTCCTTTCAGCAATTAGTAAATTTATTGCCCTAATCGTTATCGCATGGCTGCTCTGCCCACGTCCTTACCGTTGGGGCTGGGCTCCTGTCAGCGTATTTCAGCCAGATCTCTTCCCATCTCCGCCAACTGTCCCGTCCTGTCCAAAGCTGATTTGCAGTTCTGCAGCAGGGTGGAGCAAGAGTTCATTCTGAAGTCCACAGTGAGTTGGAGTCAAACAGGGAGGCATCTCATTTTGGCTCCGAGGCATGTGAGAATATTCTTTCTTTGCTCAGGGGAGAGCTGCTGCCTATGGCCAGAGCAGGCAGTCTGAGATCTTTCTAGCCTCAAATTCACTGTTCAATCCAAAAGCAATCTTCCTCCGAAGATCATCAGGGGTGTGCGTAATGGGGGGAGAGAGCCCACAGAGAAGAAATGATGAGATTTCCAAAAACCCAGAATCCACGCTGTGGGGGAGTTGGAGATGCCACATGGATGCCCTCCCTCATCAGGGCTCCGGCTCGGGTCGCTGATGCAGAGACTGTCCCCAGAAATGCTCACCTTAGGGAGAGGATAGCCACACGCAGGGCGAAGATCTGATGAAGATACAGTGCGAGCCTGCTATCTCCCCAGATTCCTGGATGGCATCCCCTGCCAGCACTCTGGGAAATGAAGACCTGGGCTTGGGGGAGCCAAGAACCTAGAGGGTTCCAGAGTTCTCAGTGTCGCTCCCTGGGTCCCCAAATGAAAACCGAGCTGCTAGCACTTCACCTGAGCAGCTGACACAGGCCCCTGGCTGCAGATGTGGGAACTTTGGGGGAACTCAGTTTCCTTGTCTAGTAGCAGCAAATAGTCTCCACATTACGCTGTTTCCGATTTTAGGAACTGACCCAAACTTAGTCATAATCGTGGAAAGAGGGTTACAGAATTAGGTGACCTTCTGCTTTTCAAGGTGTGGGGGGGGGGAGGTCAGGATTTTCATGTGGGAAATTGGAGCCAGCTCCTAAGCTGAAGTCCCAGCTTGGATTGGGAAGCCTTGGGAATCAGTGCCTCAATTTACTTCTTCATGAAGTGCCCCAATAAGAATTCAGTACCATCGATCTGGTATGACAATTAGTTCTCAGCTGCCTGCCCTAGTATCGACTGTTATTGCCAAATAACAGCATATTGGTTAGGTTAGAGGACAGTCTAAAACCGGGTGCAGCCCCTCCAACACCCTGAATCCCCTAGGCTTATGTTGTGCCTCCTTCATCTTTGTTCCTATTGCCACACACGCTGTATTATTTCCTCGGGGATTTTGTTTTTCTCTCTGTTTGTCTGTTTAGTGTCTCCATTTTCCCAACGACCCCCCACCCCAAAACGGAGCTCAGCAAGATGTTTGTTCACTGAGCTTGGACATTGGGGTGTCCTCAGCCCCCTCACTTAGGGCAGCTTCTATCTCCGAAGCAGGGTCCCTTTGCCTGCCTCACTAGAGTTGGGGGAGAAGGGCTGTTGGGAGTTTTCTCAACCCTGCTGCAGGAGGAGAAGTCCTCCCTACCCCAGCTCCCCTACATACACAGCTGTTTCCAGGTCAGGCTAATTAATCCTGACTGTGTGAACGCATTTGGACCTGTTACTGAGTATGCAAATGTTAAGCATACTAGCGTGTTAAGGCAATACATTTTGTGCGAGCTGGCACGGGCATCCTCTCCGAGAATACTATTCCCCAGGACAGGTGCAGCTGTGGGAGGGACCAGACCCCACAGTCGTAATTCCACTCCATGCATCAATTATTCATCCCTTGCTGCACACCGGCTCTGCCTGGCCACCTGTGGGCCATCCTGACCCTAGAAATCTGCTTAGGGGGCTTGATGGTCAAACTGGGGACTCTTCCAAGAGAGCCACATGGGGCTCCGAGGAGGAGACAGAGACGCCGCGCGGGGCCCTGACCACTACATGTGAGCAGCCATGAGGAGGTTTGAAGCCACCGAGGAGGGGTGAGTGCCCAGTCAGAAGGAGTTGGTTCTACTCCTAGCCTGGGGTCTTGGAGAATATGACGAGGCTCAGACTAGCCCTGGGAGCCAAACGTGCTGGGGCTTCTCTGCAAGCAGGTTGTGGTATAGTGGTGGCCATACCTGTGAGTCACAGGAGAGTGTCCTATTAAACGGTAGAAACAAAAGCCTTCATGTATCTGCCCAATTTACTTCAAACATGATCTTGGGGCTGTGGCTTGCAACTATAACCCCAACTACTGAAGAGGTTAAGGCAAAAGATTTCTAGTTGGAACATGGCTACAAAATGAGTTTCATCCCTACCACCACCCCTCAAAAAAAAAGTATTTAAAATGTGCTGCATGAGCAAAGTGTGTGGTCCAGTTGTGGTTTGTTCTGCCAAGGCCGGGGAGTCAGGACGAACAGCCAGAGAGAGTGAGTGGGTATGAAGCTCGCTGTGGGGTCTCGGGAGTTGATAACAAACTCAGACAGCTCGGCTACACACAAGCATGTGTGCATCACACACGGCAGAGAGTGGATCACAGAAGAGATCTGTGTCCTGAAAGAAAAGAAGCCATAGTTGAGTCCACAGTCAGCAAGATAACTTCTCACCACCAAAACAGACCCCAGACGGAAGACACTGGGCAGAGTTCTCCCTGGTTACTAGCCTGTGTCTTCCTGACAGTCCCACAGTTCTGTGGTGGTGATCACTACCCTCAGAGAAGCTGGGTCAGGACAGAAATGCTACCAAGATGAGCATGCATACAAAGTCTGTTTCTCTAGGCATGCAAGCCAGCATGCCCCTTTCTATCGGACAGTGAACACCATAAAACATACCTCTCTTGTTTTTGCTGGTAGGAAGTTAACTGTTTTGCTTTGTCTTTGTCTTGGTTCTTATACTATGAGGCGCACAACCCTTTTTAACACTTTTCTGGTACGTGGGACTTTTATTACAACTACTTAGAAATCATATACATATATATCATATATATAGAATATGTAATATAATAATATATAATATTATATATATATATATATGATAGAGGTAAATTGGTTCGTGGACCAATGAAAAGGGGAACTCTGAACTCTTTAGCTTCCATCTTCCCTCTTCAAAATTGGTACTATGATCTGCTTAGACCACAAGTATAGGTTAACCTGGATTGGTGTCACAGGTAATATTGATTGCAATTCAAGAAAACCTAGAATGAACAGAAAGCCTGTGGGCACATCTATGGGTGGTCTACACTAGGTTAGCCTCTGGTCACACCTACATATGTATGGACTATGCTAGGTTAGTCCATGGGCATGCCTATGGGGTGGACTAGACTACGTTACCTGTGGGCACACCTATGGGG